GGCGGTTCCCGGTACTTCGTTTTTTCGGCGGTACTTTTTCGGCGGTACTGCAAAGTGGCGGTATTTTTTAGGCGGTCGGCGGTTTTTCGTTTTTCGGCGGTACCGCCTTCGGCGGTTCCCGGTACCACCCGAATGTGGCGGTAATTCCCGCCAGTACCGGGACCGCCCACCACGGCGGGAAAAAAACGACGGGAATATTCCCGAGGTGTACCCTGATAGATTCCGCCTTGTAAAGGTCGGACGCTTGTCCTGTGTTCATGACAACAATACCGGCCTGTGTGGTACACACAAGTGAACGAAAAGATACGCCACACCGTTGCAAAAGCAAAAGCAACAAGACACCTTACAGGAACGGGCCAACTAGACTCACCTTCAACGCACTACAGGAAGCTCACGATCACGCGGAACACGCCCTCCTCTGCCAGTGCCATCATCCAGGCCGACACACCATCGATTCCACCGACGGTGCCTTCGCGCACAGCTCCAATCCCAGCGCGAACGCCGCTCCTCCCCGCACCTGCTCCACCACCGCCTCGATGTGTTCCATCCACCTCCACCTCGATCCCCACCTGCCCCGTCCTAGTACGGCGCCTCGGACGTTGCTGCGGCTGCTCGATGGCCTCAGCTGCTGCTGCAGGGATCTCCACTGCCAGCCGCACCCTGTCTGGGTGGGCACAACAAAGGACCAGGAAGCCCCGGTGACGCCAGGTTCTGTCCTGCGGAGCACGTGCCAGTAGCTCGGAAACACGCTCAAGGCGCTGACGCGTGCTTCGGGAGCTTGAGCGATGCGTCGTGTCACCATAGAGACAACCGTCTCTCCCTCTGAGTTAATGGTGGTCTCGTCCGCACCCCATCTCAATAGATAGCAGGTCCGCGGTGTCGTGATTGCCGTATTTACGCCCGTATTGTACAAAAAAGTGCAACGGGTTCCATCCTTTTTGGTCCTTGGAGTTGACGTTGGCTCCCAGTTCCAAGAGAGTCAGCATGGCATATGAGTCAACCATTGCTGCGTGTTGGAGTGGGGTCGATCCCATCCAAATCCAACCTTCGATACCGGTTCCGGCTTCGAGCAGCGCTGGGATGGCGACTGCTTTGTTTAGCTGTGCTGCAAGTGCAGCAAGTCTAGGGAGTTGGGGATCATCGCCTTCAGCCAGAAGCACTTTCACGGCGGCAACGTGGTCCCCTATCACCGCCAGACGTAGAGGGGTCTCTCGTTTGTTGTTGAGGCAGGTCAGGTCAACTCCCTTCTCGTCCAATGCCAACACCACCTCATCTA